AGCAAAGGTGTGATTTGTCTTAGAGGTGGCTTTATCTGAATGTTTATGATTTTTTGTGGCGTGTTTTTTGTGCATCATTGTTGGAATGCTGTTCCTCCCCATTTACTTGTACTTGCAGACAGGATCCGTACCCCAGGAGAGGAGATGCAGATGGCCTTGCCTTTTCGAAACCAAAGGTCAGTGTCCCATCTTGTTTCATCATTCTACATTTTGCACCATGAAACAAGGAGGTAATGTTCACTTGTCTTAGTGGCTGTCTTGTTCACACTGAGGGAGGGGAGGGGATGCGGGCTTGAAAGAGTCCTTGGGGAAGGAAGACCCTGTTGAGCTTGACTCTACAGTCTTCCCTCGAATACATCGTACGGTCATTATAGCTGAATTTGGAGTATCTTTCAGTCTAAGTACAGCTATAATGACCGTACGTTGTATTCGGGGGAAGAAGGTAGTTCGACTCTGTGAAATGACTTGAGAAGTTGAGAGGTGTAGAGTAAGTGGGAGATTTATGGAACAAGTGAAATACCACTATTTTTAACATAAAATAAGAATAAAAGAAATAGATCTGAGACCCCTAGGTAGGTACTAAACACGTCAAGAGTTTGAATTGCCCTGGTTGGTTCATACGGAGAATAGAAAATGAACAAACCATGAGTTAAAACCCCCTGAGTTCAATGTGTTGCTGGGTGGCGCAGACTGAGAATTGGTAATAGACAGGTCACAAGTGCGACTCTGGATTGACTCGACGACAAGACAGGGCACCCCGATTTTGAAGGAAAGAATCGCAAGTAGTAAACCCAAGTAAATAAAACCAAAGAAAGGAAATTGTGAGGCTTAAGGTCTCGAAATGCCCTACTGGGCCCTATTTTCAGTACAGTCGGCCACCCTAAGTGAAGGCAGGGTCGACCAAGGCCTACAGGCCCATTTTTGAGGTCACCACGCAACTGGGAAAATTCAGGCAGTTGCACAGCGCCAGTTGGTTGAGTGCGCCCAGGCCCAGGCTGCCTTTTTCGCATGTAACTAAGGCAGGCCCTGGGCTGGATAAATAACATGGACCAAACACAGGCTGAGGGCAGTTGGGCGCTGGTAACCACCACAGGCCCTGGGCCTGATCTGTCTGGACTGAGGCTCAGCCTCTCAGAGCCTACTGGAAGCTTCTGGGCCGGGGCCCAGCACCGCATTGCCGCACGCAGCAGCAGGCCATTTCCATATAGGAAAGGGCCTGCCTCAACATTCGGTATTCGGGCAGTGGCTGCTTGCTGCGCAAGCGCTGCTGCGCTAGACGCTGGCCAGAGCTCACGCGCTCACGGGCGGGCTGGATGAGCAGGCAGCCATAGCCGAGCTGCGCTGCTGTATGCTGGATGGGGCACATGGTGGTCCTTGGGTGCACATGGCATCTGTGAGTGGGGGTTTGAGGTTGTGAGTGATACGAGAGACATACCTGGTGCTTGAGGCGAACGACATTGGCCGAGATCTGCTCGTACTTCGGGGAGCTGTTGACGTCACCAGCGGCATTGTAGATAGCCTAGATAGGATCTGCCACAATTGTAGTCTGGGCGCAGAACGCCAGATAGGATGTCGACATTGGTTCTTTGTTGATGATGATGAGATTATTGCTGTGCTCTTATTTGGTGGAACTCGTGTTGCAATTCTGCTTTTGGTTCGAGGTCACGACTATCTGGACTCATGTATATGGTGCTGCTTGGTTTCTGAACCTTGCAAAATTACCTCTACTAAATAAAACCAAAGAAAGGAAATTACCTCTTCTTATCACAACATACCACGTACCAGCTAGCTGGGAGGTGTCAGCTGTGTGATATGAACCTCGGCTGTGTGATATGAACCTCAATAAGCTCAATTTCCATACCACATAGATTAAGATGTTTTGAATTAAAGGCAACAAATTGTCAGGCGGCCAATAAGACACGAACCCAGCCCCGCATCCGGGGGGCCGTGTACATGACGGCGTGACGAGGACTGTGTGCGTTTTCTGTTTTTTTTTATCGTTGTGTTGGCCATTGCTAGAGAAGACGGGCTTTTTCGGAGATTGCCGTGTTTGTCCAATGGAGACCAGAGGCAATGGGAGAAGAGAAGAGAGTTGAAGGAACATGAGAAGGGAGGGGACTAAACTTTGTTGCATGTGGGTCTCTTATCTTGAGAATGTGAACAGATTGAAGGGAGCCTAGAGAATATTTTGGAGGCACTGGAAAACGACCTTGGGTGTCAGCATATCGCATTCCGGAGACCTGCAACAGGAAGCCTCACAACATGGGCACAACAGGTCTGACTCTAACTTTTCCACCCCTAAAATGGGCGCAAAGTCCAACAAAACATCTCCCTTTCTTCTGGTTATCCTTCTCTCCCTTCTCCTTCATTACATGACATGGCGAGAGAGAGAGAGAGAGAGAGAGAGAGAGAGAGAGAGAGAGAGAGAGATTTATGGCCTGTCCATGCCTAGTGTCAGCAGATTGCTTCCTAGGCATAGCTGTGTGGCGCTGAGTGGATTGCTGTGAACACAGAAAACGGTGGTGATTTTCCACTCACTGTAACATAGGCTCGTCTATTTTCCTGTGTGATTGTTTCAGCCTGTGTGATTGTTTCAGCCTGTGTTGCTTCAGATGTCAATTGCTTGACTGGAGGCTGACTTGAGGCATCATGTCCTGGTTGCAGGGTGTGCTACTGTTAAACACTGCGTTGACGGTGTCTCCTGGCATGTCAGGCTCGCATTTGGATGAATGGAAACCTTTTACAACTGCAGTAATAACAGCCTTGTCCAATCGTCAAGGCCCCGGTATCCCTTTTGCACTGTGGGGAAGGAAGGCACAGGTACGGATAACCAGCCTCCTTACCACCTTCACTACAACCTAGACTCCTCCTCCTCCTCCTCCTTCTCCTCCTCTTGCTGCTGCTACGGCTGCTGTTCTTCGACTCCTTTGAAGGCTCTGAACTAACTGTTCTCGATGCGGAGCCGTCAAGAATACATGGCTGTCCTGTGGGACATCCGTTAAAATGGGGACGATCCAGAGAAGATTAGCAAGACCTCCGCACAATGCGCACATACAAAAAAACAAAAACTTTACACGGGAACTCGGGCGGTAGCAAAACCAGTGATGCGGGTAAGCTCTGGAAACCACAAATGTGTTAAGCTACCGTCCTCGACCAAACACAATCCATGCTCATCATGACTGTACTGAACCAGAAATATAGCTGGATACATTCATGATGAGGGTGTGCCGTGTTGTGTTCAGACCAGGACGACAGCATGTTCTGGCCACAGTTGGCTGTCCTAAGGTGCCGTGTTCGGACTATCTGTTATTCTTCTTGCTTATGACATTTCGATTTTTTTGAGTTCGTGGGGGCATGGGTCTACTTTTTCCGCCTCAAGTGCACTTAGAATTTTTTTTGTCAGTGTAAACTGGTACCAATTTGTAGTTTGTATTGAAATGGTGTAATATTGCTGGGAGGAATGTAGGCGGATGGAAGGGTTTTTAATTTAGTGCATCTCGTTTGTTTTACGAATGGTGAGAAAGAACACCGCTTCCAAGTGGACAAATACCTCCTGCCATTCTCTCGGAGAGCCCCAACCCATTTCCCGTCAACACCCCCCTTCACATCAGTAGATAATAGACCAAACATGGAGAGGAGAGGAGCGTTTTTTCCCCCTTGTGTGCAAGGCACTTTCTCTGCATTCCTTCTGTTGGGACCTTGGTACCTTTGTGAATGTTCCATCCAGGTCTTATTTTTACTCTTGGTTGAGTTTCAGTACAGGGTAAATTTTTCTTTTCGTATCATGAGTTACTTCTTTCTTTTTTTTGCTTTTGTTCCCCCACTTCCTCCCCCCCCCCCCCTCAAAGTTACTTCTTTCTGGAAGGTTGCAGTCCAGCTTTCAGTGACTAACTGGATTCATTGCGGGTGACCAATATGTCCCACTGGCATGAAGCATTTATGCTTCACCTTTGAAGTGAACAAGCTTCCTACACCACCTTTCAAACTCACATACTCATAAACGTCAGCGTGTTATGGTAAATGCCTTGTGCACCTCTCTCTCTCTCTCTCTCTCTCTCTCTCTCTCTCTCTCTCTCTCTCTCTCTCTCTCTCTC